CTTCTTCTTCTTCTTCTTCTTCTTCTTCTTCTTCTTCTTCTTCTTCTCCTTCTTCTTCTCCTTCTCCTCCTCCTTCTCCTCCTCCTCCTCCTCCTCCTCCTCCTCCTCCTCCCATATTACCTTGCAGGGCAGAGTCTAGACAACTGAATGGAGCTAGGAGAGTGTTTACTGGCTGGATTCCTTTCCTGTCACCAACGCAGAGTTTTGTTCAGCAAATATATTCTCATTGTGCCCAGAGAGAGAAGTATCAGGCAGAGACTGCAATGATAGGATAAAATACTCACGCACACTGCCCCCTTTCCCTTTTATATGATACAGTTTCCACTCTCTCAATGCTTCATAAAATAGAAGGATGAGGCACAGATTAATCAAAATGACACTTTGACAGTATTTGTCCTTGCAGTTATTTAAGATATTCTCCTGTGTAGATAAGTCCAGGAAATTGGAAAACTAACAAACAAGAAATATAACCTTTCCCATTTTTGTCCTCAAAGCAAAAATCAAATCGTTGGAGTGGCAAAAGTACCATAAATGTCCATGGTGTCATTAACTTGTCACTTGAGTTAGATTATCTTTCTATACCCAGAATTGAGTAATTGAGTAACTATGGGAGAATTGCTGAAGTAGACGTGATGTTTTGTATGTCATGACTGTAGCTTATTGTAAAGCAAATGTTTCCAGGCAGGAAATCTTAGCTTTAATCTTAGCCTTGCTACCCAATTCTACAAAAATTCCCACCAGGCAGTGTTAGCAATATTGATCTAGGTGAATCAATAGTCCCAAACTAACATTAGACAAGAACCTATGTTCCTGTACATGTATCTGTGCAAAAGGAAAAAAAAAATCCTTAGCAAGAAGGAATTTCTTATAGCAAAATACCTTGAAAACTAATAAAAGAGAAATTCTGGATAGATAGATATATTTTGCTGGGTTTGTAGTGTTCAGATACACCAAGGCATGCACTTGGAGCATAAAACGTAACCTGCTACTTTGTAAGAGTTCGACTAACCGATGAACAACCTTGTTTTATTTTTTTGAAAAAAAAATCTTCTGTCCAGTAACTACTTTATTCTAATAAAATGTATGTGCTAGCAAAACTGAAGTAAGTCACTTACTGCAGGTGAAGGCGGTGGCGAAACTGATGCAGGCAGCAAAGAATATTCTGTCAATTCATATTTCACCTTAGGAATTTTGGTTGGTGTGAAACTGTATGTCAAACACAACATATTAAAACCAGTTTAAGTTAAACTTACATGAGTCACAGTAGTTATTCAGGAGGGAATGATTTCTCATTTTACTAAATCATACACACACACACACACACACACACACACACACACACCACTGTTGGATTTTGGAAATGTAACTGCTTGAAGGAATAATTCAATAGAACTGTCTGTATAAAGTCTCCTTTGTATTGCACTTGATGTCTGGTGATTGATATGTGTAAATAATTTTCTTGGCAACAAATTGGAAGTGCTTAAACATTGTCTTTTTCCAGATTTTTTTTTGAGGGGGCGGGAATTGTCCAATGTAGTCTGCAAATTTCCTGATAGTTTCCTATCTAAGTACTAAATAGATATAACTTGCTCAGCTTTTCAAAATAAGCAGGATTGGATGGAGACTGTTATTTAGCTGAAGAACTGAGAAGAAATTTCAGAATATACATTACACGTGAACATACTGGACTTTCAACTTTACAGTCCTGGGCTGAGTGAGAGGGACTAGGTCCAAAGTTGCTGAGTTCTGTGCTAAAGGTGGACTAGAACATGGTCTCCCTATACCTATTCCAACACTTTAACTGCCCCACCACATTGGCACTTTCATTGAGGAATAATAAAACTTTTATTTTTTTCTTCCTAACCATAGCCCTCAGCTTCTCTTCTTGAATTATGCCCCTAGTCTGAAAAGGACCAAACCAATTTTATTATTTTAACTTTCAATTTGATTAACAGTCTGGGATTAGTAAAAACTTAACAATTCAAGTCCTAACCAAGAACTTAAAAGCTGTTAAGATAACGTCTGAGTATAATGGCAGTTTCAAGTAATGTGTTTTTTTGTAAAGCCAGATGATGATGATGATGATGATGATGATGATGATGATGATGTGTGAATTCAGTGACACTGATTCTTCAACTCTTCATGGCCTACTGACCACATGGATTTCCCTAGTCTTTTACACTGCATGCCCTATTTTTATTCCTTCTGCTGCTGTTCCAACACACACAGTCTTTTGCTTGCTGACTCTACCTAATACTAGGTAGGTGGTCATCTGTGTCCATCCTTCTCCATGTATTGCCTTAAATAAACTTTCTTTCCTATTAAATCTGTATCACTGATCCATATTCAGGTGAGATTTAGGCTGCCAGGAATGCTCATACACACGAATTTGCTTTCTCCAACTATTTCATTGTTATTTTCAGGAATTTCCTCTGATTTTAGGTATGCTATTCCATCAGCAGCCATTATTATCAATAGCTTTGAAGGATGGGCTGAATAACTACAATATCACTAAACAGCTATAGGAAAATGTTTAAAGTCATAGTGGGTAAATCATTTGGATTCATTTTGAATTGAAACACCTTATTACAAAACAAGTATGAGACAGCTGTTCTGAACTAAAGTCAGCTGTGTTTGAGTTGGAAATGGTCTGCTTTGAGATCAGAAGAGGATCTTTCAAATTGGAAAGCATTTCAGCCTGAAATCTCTTAGATAATCTTGTCTGAAGCATGATAGGGAAAAAATGCAGCACCAGCTCACATATGCTGTATCCCCTTAGAAGTAACCAGCGCTAGTTCAGTGCCACTTAGTAATAGATGAATGTGCAGAAAATTACATCTAGTCCTAAAGCAGTGGGACAGAAGAAGCCTGTTAAGAATAAACTCAAACTATTTATTGTTAGCAGACTGCAGAGACTTTTTGAATATTGATGCTAAAAAAAAAGCCTTTCCTTTCCCCCCGTTTCTCTCTCAGAAATTGTAGGAAGCAAAAACAGGACGTCAGGAAAAAAAATACCTGCTGCTTATTCCTTCGATCCCCAGTTCTGAAAAAATCTCTTTCATAACTAGAATTAAAAAACAAAGGTCAGAAACATAAGTTTAGCTCATGAATATGATTTAGTTAAAACATAAATTCATAAGCGTTGGATATTTTAGGGTATATGATAAGGGTGATGGAAGGTGGATACCATACACACATAAGCTATGTTGAGTAGCTCAGATATGATTTTATTCACTTGGAAGGTGAATCTGTGTTTAAAACAATACACCTGCCCTTTCAATAGGTTCTAATTTTCACAAAATTGAAAGATAATGTTGAACATTTTCCATTGTGCCCAGTATTGTTGGGGTTTTTTTTGAAGAAGAGACTGCTTTAGAGGCACAGCTCTGTTTGCATTTGTTTCAAATGTTTCTTTGTGGCCACATTTAATTGAATAAGTCAATTCACTGAGATGCTTTGAGAAGGGTGGTATACAAACCTAAAAAAATAAAATAATATTTATACAGCATCTTAAACATTTGGTAATTCCATTCCATATGGTACTACAGAATTAAGCAAAATGGGAACCAGTCAAACATTTTGGTGGACTTATTTAGGAAAAGAAGAAAAAATCCTTTATTTTAGATAAATGTTTATGTATAAGAAGATTGATAGCCAGTGGGAGCATCTGGGGTGGGCAAGGGGAAAAAATAACCAAAATGTGCATCGCAATATCATGATGCAATTTCTGTCCCATTTAATAAGTCATGGCTCACACATATTGATAAGGAACAGAGTTGATGTTTTCACTTCACAAACGCAGGTTTTGTCATCATGATTGAAATTTCAACTGCTATGGATGCTTTTCGGCTCTTCAATACTCTTATGAAAACTTTCTCTAGGCTTTTTAAAAAAATAAAGCTAACTGCTTTATTCTTTTCTTTCTTTTCTTCTCTCTGTTTAAATCTCTGAGTTGCAAAGAAACAATAGACAAGATCAGTTAATGGTGATATCTAAACAAAGGATTCCTGAAATAGAATTTCAGTCAGAATATAGTAAACTCTCAATTAGGCTACAATTGGATAATAGCAATGCGCCCTACCACATGGCATTGTACTCAGATAAACTGAAAGTTAAAGGTTTCCCCTTTCCAATTGTGTCCAACTCTAGGGGATGGTGCTCATCTCAGTTTCTTAGCCGAGGGAGGCAGCATTGTCCAAAGACACTTTTGGGGTCAGGTAGCCAGCATGACTATATGCCAAGGTGGATTGAGCACTGTTACCTTCCCACCAAAGTATTTATCTATTTCCATTTGCATGCTTGTGAACTGCTAGATTTGCAGGAGCTGGAGCAAGAATGGGAACTCTCACCTCATCATGTGGCACTTGGGTCTTGAACACAGGCTGTCAACTTTCCAGCTGACAAGCTTAGTGTCTTAAACTGCAGAGCTACTGTGCCCCCTTAGGTTAACTTAAAAAAATAAATGTTGATGAGCATTTATATTGCTCTGGTAGAAAAATATATCATCAGCAATGTTGGAGGTCTTCTGTTATATTGTAATTTCAATTAAGATATACGCTCTTAATGTCTCTAACTCTTATTTCCAGGTTGGATGGACTGAATTTTATCTGCAATTTTTAGTAGCAGATAAGGACCTCAAGGTAACTCATGCCATCGCAAAGTTTGTTTTTGTAGCTTGTAAAATTTGTACATTGCTGATAGCAAAAGAATGCAAGCATGATTGTATATATTTTTTGTCTTGCCTGCTTTCTTTTATATATTATATTTTGTAGCTTTACTCTGTTAGTTTATTTAGTAGGTTTTATTTAGTCTGGGTCGCTGACCTGTAATAAAGGATTTGAGAAACATTAGCCATTTTGTTCTTTTCTACAGCACGAGAAGAAGAGCCATTCATCTCTGCCATTTTATAACATACTTTCTCCTCTTTTTTAAAAGTCGATCATACACTGTCCCAAAGGTGCTTTTTCAAAAGGCAGCTGGACTTTCTTTGTTTCTGCTTGGAGATTTCTCTTCTCACCCAAGAAGCTACTGTTACTACTTATTTTATATACTCTTCATTTTTGCTTTATTTCCATTTCAAAAATAACATGATTTTGTTGGCTTATAAATGGAAAGAAAGAATGAAAAAACCTCAGTATTATATGCTGCTACATTTCAGTTATGGTGTCTTCCCTCTTTTTTGCTCTTGGGTTATAAGTAATTTTGCAGGCAGTGGAACTTCGAGAGAATAGATATGTTTTCAGCTTTCACCCTATTTCTGAGTAGACATGAGTGAAAGAAAGGAGGAAGAAATAGGGCAGGTAATTAAGAAAACTTACAGAGATTCCAGACTTTATTTCTTCAGTGGAGGACTGTTTTACTTGTGTAAAATTTCTGGGAATTGAAGTTCAGAAGTCTTAATGTTTCTAACGTTGGAGATTCCTGATATAGACTGCAAGTGGGCCAGATAACAGGGCAAAATTGTTTCATAGATTGACCTCAGAACTACAAACATGGGACTTTAGAAATTCAAAATTAAGAATAATACTTGACAACATTTCACTTTCTTAGGAAAGGACTCTGCCTAAAGGGGAAAAGAAGTTCAGATATAGGTAGAGAAAAGAAGCTTATTTAAAAATTTAAACCGGATTGTGGTTGTATGTAACCAAGCACAAGCAGATGCTGCTAGGAAAAGATGCTCATCAGGCAAGTTGTTTAATGCAGTTATACAAACAGGACTCACAAGCCAGTTATAATAGAAAATGGTGAGAATTCCTTCCTAACCTCTGAAGTATAATCTCAGAATATGGGCAAAAAGCATATATTTTAACATTAAACTACTTATCTATAAGTAGGACAGGTTCTTAGAAGTGAAAAAGTTGAACTGAAAGTATTCTGTATCTTCTGCATTATTCTATTCACTACTCTATAGAAGTGTCTTCTTTTAGAAAGTACATTTTGAGCAAAACTTGCATTTATGCATCAAGGAAGAGCTCAAATAAGTGTAACTTATTTGCATATTTATATATAATGATAACATCACATTTTTTCCTAATTTAGTATTTAATATCTTCCAATATTCTTAGTACAATAAAATGGGTAACTTTTTGAGCTTCTATTTTATAAAATCCCATTGACTAAAATGATCATAGACTATATAATAGATTTTAAAATTCATCTCTATTTATTATTAATCATTTCTATAGCACTTTTCCTTTTCAAAGTGCATTTCTAAAATTACTGTATTCCTTATACTTCAGCAAAAAATCTTTTAGGTCCCTTTTCTGTAATAATTTATTATTCTTCATTTACAGAGAAGCAAAGACTTGTCCAATGAATAGACAATTGTGTCCCTCTATCACTCTGATACTAAATATATTAGAGACAATGCTTTTAGTACAGGAACAAATTACTATGTGAGAAATATCTATGAAGCTAAAGCTAAAGAAGTTTCTTGGATGAGAAGTGAAACATCTTCAAAGAAAAACCAGAAAGTCCAGTTGCCTCTTGAAAAAGCATATTTGGGACTACTATGTGAGAACTAAAATGGTCCCATAACATAGCTGGCTATCAAAAGATACATGAGATTCAAAACAGATGAAAATCAAGGCTCAGGCTATATTATTTTTGAACTGAGGGTCTTGAGAAGAGATTTGGCTGAGTGATATTTACAGAGTTCAATCAAAGATTTGTAAGATCGTGCATATAAGAAAAGTAATAGAATATGTTTATGCTACGTAATAGTAACATATTGAAATCAATCCTTATATGTAACTGTATGGATTAAAAAAAGGCAAGTCACAATATTCAAATTATATCAAATGTGGGACTGAAAGTATTTTTTTAAAAAGTATCTTTGCAAATCAAAGAATTTGCAAGGATCTTGAAATTTAATTTTCATAGTTTAAAGATAATGAGACATATTTGAATGGCACTAAAACATAAATTAAAATTCTTGTCTCATGTAAAATTTACTTCTACAACAATTCTTAATTATGGATGGCAGTAATATATACATTTAAAAATATGAGCAGAAAATGAGGTTAATTTCTTAGATCGATTTATAAATAATTGTACAGATAAGATGTCTGATAGATTTTAAAAAGAACGTGACAATGGCAGCCTTGGAAACACCTATTGTTTTGAGTATCTTATATGACAATTTTAGAGGCTAAATCAATAAGTTGTGTTTAATAGTAACTGAAGTAAAATACAAAGATAAATACAGATAATTTACAGAAATCTGGAATAAGTATAATTTGACCTCTAAATCAGGGGTCTCAAAACTTTGCATCTGCTGGCTGAGGAATTCTGGGAGCTGAAGTCCACCAGTCTTAAAGTTGCCAAGTTTGGAGATCCCTGTTCTAAACAATAGTAAATGCAATTAATTAGTATCGTTTAAATAAACTTACAAAGTTGTCTCTCTGAAGGATTTATCAGTTTCATTCCCATGAGGTCATTGAATTCTTTCCCATTAATTCCACCGAAAATATAGAGCTACCAATGCAAACATGTAAGAATCCTAATTAAATCGTTCATTTAAAATGTATTAAAAAGCAATGAATAGAAATCACATATAGGGAAATATTTGTATCATAGCCTTTTCTTTTTAAAAGATTTTGGACACTCCTTTCCTAATATACATTTCTTAGAGATTGTATATCTGTGGAACAAACTGTGCAGTTTCTGCTTTTTAAACTCAGAAATGGAAAGGAGGAAGGGAGGGAGGGAAGATCCATGGCCTGAAATGAAAGTAGGCAGGCCAATTTTGCAGTCATTGGTCAAATATTTTTCTTTGGGTTTTCCACTCAAGATAGCCCCCTAATAGACGTTCAGACGTTGGTGGAGATGACAGCATCATTCTGGAGAATTCTGAGAGCAGATCATGTTCCAGTTTTATTGGCTCCAAAGCAAAATCTGTCCTATTTATTTTCATTTTCAACACATTTTAATAAACATGACATGGCTTTATTTAAAACTTCCTTTCTTATGCTATGACACAAGGAAGCTGAGAAGTTTATTCAAGGAGCCTCTGTGAAAAATATTTTAATTCTAATTGCTAAATTGACTTCATGCTAGAAAATCTGAAGAGACCTGATCTGTACTGGTTTATATATTTTAAAATTTCCAGACTGCCCTTCAGTTTGGCTTACAAAAGTTCGAAATCCAATCTCAAAATCTAAAAATACATTTGTACAGTCACAATTTTTCTAATTGGTAAACATTAAACAACAGCAAGAATAAAAATAAGTTAAAAGTGTTTATTGCACAGATGAAAACTGCCCAGCTATTAAGATATTTAGAAGAGTAAGTCTTTGTTAGGTGATCTTACGGGGGGAGGATCTTCGGGAATGGACAAAGGTCACTCCTGAGCAGTTATAGAAGGACATGGGAGATGTTCTTTGGGTTCATGTTGAAAATGTCCTAATCACCTCTACCATCTTCATAAATTTAGTATGTTTGTTGGGTATATTAGCATATTTAATAGTATATTTGTTGTGACCTATTGGCTTAGGAGTCCTGGTCATGCAGTGGTTAGAATGCAGGATTGCAGGCTAGCTCTGCCTACAGCCTGGAGTTCGATCCTAATGGGGCTCAAGGTTGATTCAGCCTTCCATCTTTCCAAAGTTGGTAAAATAAGGACCCAGATACTTGGGGGAAATATGCTGACATTTTAAACCACCCAGAGAGTATGGTAAAACATGATGGAGCAGTATGTAAGTTTAAGTGCTTTTGCTGTTATGCTTACTACTCTTTAAAAATAAGGACACACAATAGCTTTCCCAGCCCATTTTTTTTCTAAAAGCCATGTTGTTTAAGAATGCTAAGAGTTTTAAATTTAACAATGTATGGGAAGCACAAATCAAAGTAGACTTTTGGAGATACTGGACTGAGACAAGTTCAAACAGAACAAGGATGGCAGCTTCTCACTTTAAAATTATTTTCACTTACTTGATTATGGAGAATAAATGCAACATGATTCCATCTGCAGGCTGGAGGGATTCCTATGAAAAGTGGCTTCTTCCACTTCATCCGAGCTATATAACATATCAAAAATATTTTAAATATTAATAGTAGCAATGCAACTTCATTGGGAAAGTACAAAAAAAAATTCTGCAGCAGATTACATAGTTACGGTCAATATTCTAAATGTGAAAAATGACTGAATATGCAAGGCTTTTTATATAATAGCAAGATATATTACAAAAAGAATTCTCATTTCAAAAGCTCTGAAACAGCTATATAAAAAAAGACTAATCTAATTATTCCACTGACTAGCAAGAACGAAGGCAAATAAAAAACACACCCTTTTAAAGAGATTGTTTTCTATGTTTTATACAAGCTTCTTAATTAATTCAAAATTACTAAAAGCAATCCACTATCTCAAATCAAAGATATACTGCAAAATAATCTGAAAGATTATTGCGAAACAAGGAGGAAAAGAAAAGGGAGTGAAGAACAGACAATGCAAGCAAATGATCCCAATTCTCTCACAGTAAATCAGTACAGTGAATCTGAAATCCATGCATGTTACCTTTCAGTTGTCATTTCCTTCAAAATGCTATGTCTCAGTTTATGAACAGGAATTGTTAAGCGGCATCTAATTAATGATGGTGTAGTCTACTTAAAATTGTCTTCCTGATGTATTTAATCCAAACGT